ACCTCCACGAGTGCCAGCAGCGCGACCCTGACGGTGACCGTACCAGTCGTGCAGCTGCTGTGAGGTGAGAGGCACACGCGGACGAAGGCGGCTACTCCAAGGAGACCGCGCAACAGCAGACTCCAACAGCTCCAGAACCTCCAGCGCCAGCGCCACCAGTGTCAGCACCTCCAACGGCTCCAGAACCTCCAGCGCCAATACCCGCAGCAGCTCCAGAACCTCCACTAGGACCAGCTCCACCAGCAGTAGCACCCCCAGAACCGGAACCTCCAGCTCAAGGGCCTCCAGTAGAACCAACTCCAAGAGCAGAGCCACCAGCTCCAGCGCCTCCCGCAACAGGGCCCCTAGCTCCAGCAGCTTGACCCTGACGGCTAATGTACCACTCACGCAGCTGCTGTGGGGAGAGAGGGAGTAGACGACGAGAGTGCAGCGGCGAGGCACCAGCAGAGCGACTACGGAGACGGCCGCTCCAGGGAGACTGCTCACCAGACGCCTCAGCGCCCCCAGGTGCAGCACCCCCAGACTCAGCACCCCCAGGCTCAGCACCCCCAGACTCCTCACGTCCAGGCTCCGCACCCCCAGGCTCCGCACCTCCAGGCTCAGCACCCCAAGGCGCAGTACCCTCAGAAGCAGCACCCCGAGCAGGACCACCCTCAGTAGGACCTGAGTCACCAGTGACCTCAACCGGTGCAGTCAAGGGAGGAGGGTCTACCTGAGACACACCTGAAGGAGCAGGTGACGTGACGTCCTAAGAGGGGAAGACACGGCGCGAGATGTGGTGGTAAAACTGCCAACCAGACGCGTCAGGGACAAAGCCAAGGAAGACACAGGGAACTGACTCGTCGAACGTGACGTCCTGAGAGGGGAAGACACGGCGCGAGGTGGGGTGGTAAAACTGCCAACCAGGCGCGTCAGGGACAAAGCCAAGGAAGACACAGGGAACAGCGCGGGCGGAGAGCTTGTCCGCGGTGGTATCGCGGACAAAGGCACGAGCACCCCAGACCCGGAAACGCGACGCATCGCCAACCTTCCCCGTCCACAGCAGTGTGGGCGAGGTCTCCGGCAAGAAGACACGGGGCCAGAGGTTGAGCTGATGCGCGGCGTACCGGACTGCAAACGGCCAGAGAAAATGGGGGGCAGCCGCATGGATCATGGAGGTACGAGCGACCTCCATGACTAAGCCAATGCGGCGCTCAGCAACCCCATTCTGCTGCGGAGAGGCCGGAAGCGTGAACGTCTGGCGGATGCCGTGCTCCGCACAGAAGGCTGCCAAGAGGTCTGAGAAAAACTCACCACCTCTGTCAGAGTGCAGACGTAGGACAGGAAAGTCCGTCCCGAACCGCTTACGGAGCTGGAGATGAACAGCGCGGATCCAAGGGATCAAAACATCAGGGACCTCCCCCTTGCGCTGCAAGGGGAAGACCGTGGTGTAACGCGTGTAGTCGTCGACGACCAGCAGGAAGTACCGCTCGTGGCCCTGTCCACGGACGCGGGCTGGGCCCCACACGTCCAAGTGGAGAGTCTGCAGGGGAGCCTCTGTGGGAGGGAACGAGGAGTGAGGAGCGGCGCACTGCCGCCCCTCGACACAGGGAAGACAGGGAGGAGCAGGCGAGGGTGGGAGGGGAGGGAGGACCCTGGGAAGACCAGAGACAAGGACACGGCGGTGCATGCTACGAAGGCGCTGCACCGAGGGGTGACCAAGGCGGTGGTGCCAAAGGAGGGTCTGGTGCGACAAAGCGCGACACGAGCAGGGGGGCGCTAGCTGACCTGACGCAGACGCAGACGCAGCTACCTGAGGGGACTTAGTGGTCAGTGTGTACAGACTCAAGCCAAGCGCACGGGTAAACGTGGCCAGGTGTCGGCCCGTCCGAGCACACGTACAGTGAGTCACTTGCTGACTCGCAGGAGTGAACTGGTCAACCCCCCCATCCTGGAGGTCAGCTCCACTCACCAAGTTCGTAGAGAACGAGGGGAGGTAAAGACCTGACAGCGAGCCAGACGGGACGGCCGGACACGGCAGAACCGTGGAGTAGTGGGCAAGGACTGGACCCCCAGAGGGGTCCGCCAGGGAGACTGCAACTGGCCGACTAAGCGGCGTGAGTGTGGTGCAGTCGCGAAAGAAGGAGCGGGAAGCTCCTGAGTCAAGGGTGAAGGTGTGCAAGACCGCAGCAGGCGCAGTACCAGAGAGAGCAGACTCACCAGCACCTGGAGCAGCAGCCTCACCAGCACCTAGAGCAGGAGACGTACTAGCACCTAGAGCAGCAGCCTCACCAGCACCTAGAGCAGGAGACGCACTAGCACCGAGAGCAGCAGCCTCACCAGCACCTAGAGCAGCAGGCTCTATACCTGGGTCAGGCGGTACGCACAGGTAACAGGCACGGTCAGCACTAGTAGGCAATGCATACATGGCAGTGAGAATAGCATCATAGTCAAGAGCAAAGATATCTACCCTCTGTCCAAGCAGCTCCAGCCAGGTGGGGAGCTCAGCCTCGTCGCCAAACTCGGTACGCCAGGCGTCGCTCAGACGGGCGAAGCAGTGGGACTGTGTGTGACCAAGCGTCCCGCAAGCCTGACCAGCCCGATCACCTGTGCGAATGACGTACGGGCAGCGAACTGTACTCAAAGACCCTCTACTCTGAGCGTACCACTCGTGAAGCTGCTGGGACGTAAGTGTCTCGCGTGGACGCCGCTGCAGCTGCAGCTGGCCACTGCCAGACGCTCCCAACTGACCAGCTCCAGGGCGACAGCTACGACGGCTACCGCGACAACCCCAACTAGCGTACCACTCACTAAGCTGCTGGGGCGTGAGAGACTCGCGGGAACGACGCTGGAGCTGCATCTGGCCACCTGCCAGTAGCAGCAGTAGCAGTAGTAGCAGCAGCAGCAGCAACCTAGCAGTAGTAACAGAAGGAGCAGCAGTAGCAGCGGTAGCAGCGCGGACAGGCAGGCAGGCCGGCAGGCAGGCAGGCAGACAGGCGTGGCAGGCAGGCAGGTGGCGCGACAGTGCGTGAACAAGGCAGGTGCTCACCAGTGGCGGTCCGGGCCGGCGCTCGGAGGACGGCGGCCGGGTAGGCGCACGACGGCGGCGACGGCGGGGCCGCGACAGCTGCTGTAGGGCGGGGCCGTGACAGCTGCAGGAGGCTCCGCGGCAGCTGCTGCAGGGCAGGGCCGTGACGGCGGCAGAAGGCTCCACGGGCAACTGCTGCAGGGCGGGGCCGCGACTGTGGCAAGGCGCTCCGCGGCGATTGCTGCAGGAGCGACAGCGGCAGTCAGGCAGGGGCGGCGTCCAAGGGGGGGGCGCCGCAACGAACAGGGGCAGCCGCGGCGCGCGGGGCTGCAGCGCGAAACGCGAGCTGCGGGCGCGGCGCGCGAAGCCGCTGCGGGCTGCGCGAGGACGGCAGCCGCGGCGCGCGAGGCTTCAGCGCGACGCGCGGGGCTGCAGCGCGACGCGCGGGGCTGCAGCACGTAGCGCGGGCTGCGGACGCGGCTCGTGGAGCAGCAGCGAGCCGCGCGCGGGCTGCTGCAGGGTGGGGCCAGGTGGGGCCGCGTCAGTGTTAGGTCGTGGCCGCGAGGCGGGGCGGCGCTCTGGCCTGACGGGCCTGCAGGGGCGGCTCGCGGGCCTGACGGGCCTGCAGGGGCGGCGCGCGGACCTGACGGGCCGTCAGGGGCGACGTGCAGGCCTTACGAGTCTGCAGGGGCGGCGCGCGGGCCTTACGGGCCTGCAGGGGCGGTGCGCTGGCCTAGGGCAGCAGTAGGCAGCGCGAGGGCTGCAGGACGGCGTGCGCGCGTAGTGCAGCACGTCACAAGGCAAGGTAGGCAGGCAGGCAACACGTGGGGTAGCGCAGTAACCGCAACGTTAGGTGGGCCCGGAAAAAAAACAAGAGGCGACGAAATCGTCTTAAGGTTGCGAAGCATTTTTTAAAAGCACTTTAACCTGTAAAGCTTATAGAGTGTACAAAAACTTGTTCCAACAATTGTTGTGGTCTGTTTCCAAAAACAGCTAACTGAGCATTCCGGAATCGAACTGGAGACCTTTCAGATTTCAGCCGATCTCCTCACGACTGCGCCACAATCGACACATCAGTACGGCTTGTTAAAGTTTCATGGACGTATTTTGCGCGACGAAATTTGAACTACTCTAGGGTTTCGACGTCCCTTTTTTCTTTGTCTCTCCCACTCGTGAGTGGAGCCCAGTTCTTCATATCAGCCCCATACTCACGCTCCATCTGCTGCTATCTCCTAAAGGTGAGAAGACTTGTAGCGTTTAAGTAGAGACTATGTTAGAAGATTACGAGTTAGACTAAGATCTTCGCTTACTTCCGCATTTGGTCGTTTTAACTAGCAGTTAAAGCCTAAGCTCCAGGCCTTTGTAAGGACGTCAGCTTTCCTTAGGTCGTTAATAAGGCTGCATGTTTCTTTTCATTCCCTATCGCGCTCTTACCTCTCGTCTTACCTTGCGATGTTTCTATTTATATGCTTTCCAGTTATTGTCTTTCCCTTTTTATTTTTTCCTTCCAGTCACATGTTCGTTCCTTACTGATCTCGGTCATTCCGTTTATTGAGATTTTATCGAGCTGTTCCTTCCTTTTAAAAGATTCCGCATCTAGTGACGTTTGTCTTGGTTTCCGTTACCTTTTTTTCGTTATCCTTTCTTCACCTTCCTTCTCCTTCTTCTGACTCTTCAATGAGCCTCTCCTTCTATTCGTAGCTGCATTGTTTTTTCGTTCTTAAAATCTGTTTTTGTCCCCATATGCTACATAGATTTTTTTCTTCGAAAACGTAGTTTATTGAACTCTCATTCTATCCCTCGTTCGTCTCTCTCGTTCTCTCTCTCTCGTTCTCTCTCTCTCGTTCTCTCTCTCTCTCTCTCGTCTCTCTCTCTCTCTCTCCGTTCTCTCTCTGCCGTTCTCTCTCTCTCGTTCTCTCTCTCTCTCTCTCTCTCTCTCTCTCGTTCTCTCTCTCTCTCTCTCTCTCTCGCTCGTCTCTCTCTTCTCCCATTCTCAATCTCCCGTTCTCAATCCACGTTCTCTATCTCTCGTTCTCTCTCGCTTCGATTCTCTCTCTCTCTCTCTCTCTCTCTCGCTCTCTCTCTCTCTCTCTCTCTCTCTCTCTCTCTCTCTCTCTCTCTCTCTCTCTCTCTCTCTCGTTCTCTCTCTCTCTCTCTCTCTCTCTCTCTCGTTCTCTCTCTCTCTCTCTCTCTCTCTCTCTCTATCTCTCTCTCTCTCTCTCTCTCTCTCTCGTTCTCTCTCTCTCTCTCTCTCGTTCTCTCTCTCTCGTTTCTCTCTCTCGTTTTTTCTCTCTCGTTTTCTCTCTCTCTCTCGTTCTTCTCTCTCTCTCTCTCTCTCTCTCTCTCTCTCTCTTCTCTCTCTCTCTCTCTCTCTCTCTCTCTCTCTCTCTCTCTCTCTCTCTCTCTCTCTCGTTCTCTCACACTCGCCTCGCTCTCTCATTCCTCCCGTCCGTCCTTCCTTCTTTCCTTCCCTCCTACCTTCCATACTTCCTTTCCTTCTTCCTCCGTTATGTTTACTGTTTCAGTTTGCTGTTTTCGTTTTCCACTTCTGTTTTCTGCTTCCGCCTTTTCATCATCCATAAATTTGTATCCTGCTTATTCATGTCTAAAAGTTTTCTATGATTTCCTTTTTTGTATCTTTTTTTTTTTTTTCTTTTTTTCTCAGGAGTCTTGCTATTCCGGAAGACGAGTCCAATTTGGAAGATTTGTAGTTGTCACTTATAGGATTTACCATATTGCCATTTTTACTTTGTTTGCATGTTTTATGTATTTTTTGGGTTTCTGGCTCTTTTTTTGATGTTCATGCGTTTGGTTGTTGTAAATGTGTTTGTTTGTCTGAGTCTGCATTCATCTATCATTGCAATGACAGTGCATGTCTGTGGGTTTTAAAAAGGTGAATCAGGTCTATCATCTCATCAGAAGGTTCATTGGCGCGCCTGTCGGGAGCCCACTTGAGCTGGAGATGATAGAGTTGATCATCTTTTTAGACTTCACAGATATGTCGTAGTGCGAAGAGAAAAAACACTACCATCACATCACAATTGAATGTAGACATTACTTACTGGTCATGTAGCTTGCAACTAGTGCATCCTGTTTTTTTTTTTTTTCACATTTTATTTTAAATAAATAAAATGTGGAAAAAAAATTTCGTCCAAATCGATCGTAAAGGGTTGCTTCGCAACCCAAAAAAAAAAAAAACGGTCCTACGGACCTAGTGCTCTGAAACCATGTTAGAATCTAGCAGCAGGAATGATTAAACTATGAAAGAATTGGGTACAAATGTGCAACCCTAATGTGGGCTGTACCTCATATTGGCTACCCCACTACAGCCTAAACATATATAGCATATATAATATTTGACAGGGAGGGGCTATTCTATTCAAGTCTATCCGAGTTATACCCCCCAAAATGGCATGTGACATTATAAGACCCCCCCCCCCCCCCCCTATCCGAGTTATACCCCCCAAAATGGCATGTGACATTATAAGACCCCCCCCCCCCCCCCCCCCCCCCCCCCCCCCCCCCCCCCCCCCCCCACACCCTCCCACTGGAGACCTACCGTCAGCCCCCAGATATACACGTTTATTTAGGGGGTTCACTTAGAGGATTTTTGCAAGTGTCGGTCCATCTCGTTCTTGCACTTTGGATCGAGTCGAAAGTATGCATAATTTATCCTGATAACATTTAGTGAAGGTGCTGCAAGTAGTGGTAATCTATGTTTAGCGGAAATGTGCAGGGTTGTGGATAGGTACTACTACCGACCGAAGCGAAGAGGATTTCCATGTCTACATGTTACGAAGGCGATGCAATCAAACGTGCTGAATCACAACCACCATACGGTGAATACGGAATAAAACTTCAAAGAATTAGTGCAACAATGATGATCCTACTGACCGAATGGCATCTCTCGCCTGATATCCTGTTACATGCTCTTGTTTCGAATAAATCTGTTGATCAGTATGTACGTATACTCACCATCTCGGCCATTAACAAACCCGTGGCGAATCAATCTATGCTCCATTCTCATCAGCATTAAACCAATACCATCACCTCCCCTCCTCCCCGTCGTCCTCCCCTTCCTCTGCCGCCAACTGGATCGACAGCTCTGCCAGCTGGCGCTCCGCCACTGGAGCAGGGGCGTTGGTGAGCAGGCACTGTGCAGCGGTGGTCTTGGGGAAGGCAATGACATCGCGGATGGACGGCTGGTTGAGCAGCAGCATTGCCAGGCGGTCTAACCCGTACGCAATGCCGCCTGATGTGGGAGGAAGGTGATGAGGGAAAAAGGGAAATGAAAAGGGGGCTGGTCTTGGGGAAGGCTGTCTGTCACGTCTTTGATGGACGGCTGGCCGAGCAGCGGCATGGCCAGGCGGTCCAGCCCGTACGCAATGCCGCCCCAAACAAGGCTGACGACATGAGGGGCAGGGAAAGATGAAAACGGCACAGGGTGGCCTTGCTGAAGGCTGTCATGCCTTCGAAGGATGCCTGTTTTGAGAAGCAGCATAACCAGAAGCCTAACTACGAACTTATGAAGCTGAAACAGAAGGCAGAAACAGAGGGGTTGACAAACAAGATGGAGGTGGTGTGTAGAGGTGAAGGTGTGAGAGTGAAGGTAGCATGAGAGCAGCACAATGAAGAGTGTTAAAGGCTCATTGTGGTGCTCTTACCGTGTGGTGGGGCTCCCAGGTCGAATGCCTCCATGAGGTACCCAAACTTCTCCTCCGCCTGCCGTGAGGGAAAAGAATTGAGGAGTTGAAGAGTTCAGGTGAGAGAGTTGAGTGATGGGAGTTGGGAGTTGGGAGTTGAAGGAAATAAAAACTATTATGTATGAAACAGCAAGTAATACACAAGGGAGGGCGTAAGGAGGGGACCATGAGCACGAGAGGATAAAAGAGCGACTGGCGATAGAGGGCGCAAGAGCAGGTTGGTTCTTGTTCTGCTGCCAGAGCTACGGATGACATGCAGAAGCACTGACCACCTCTGTGGTGGGTGCTGGTGGTAAGGCGTGATGGCTTCTGTGGACTCGGGGGGGGCGCATTGTGGTGCCTTCTCTCACCCCTCCTCTCTTCCCCATTCACTCTTCTCCCTTGCCAGTCCTGGGTCAGGTCGGGCCCATGCCATCAAACAACCCCCCACACAGATCCCACTCCCAACCCCACTCCTTCCCCCCCACACCCTGCCCCTCCCCCCTTCCCCGCCTTCCCCCCCACTCCAGCCCATGCCCTCCCCTCATCCTCCTTCCCCCCCTTGGTCCTCCCCTCTTTCCCGCCCTCCACCGTCGTGCCTGTTGGGGGGTGAGGCCGATGCAGTCAAACACCTTTTCCTGCACGTCCCGTCGAAATATGCGCAGGCTGCCGCCTCCGATCTGAGGGGCATGGCGAGCAAGAGAGAGGGGAAGAAAGGGAGGGAGAGGAGGAGGAAGGGAGAGGAGGAGGGAGAGATGCAGGAACGAGGATTGTTCCTTCAAAACAGATGCTTCGAACACTATTCGGCAGTATTTAGTCCCTCTCACCTCTACGCCGTCGTACACCAGGTCGCAGGCCAGCGGCCTGGCAGTGCTGATGCATTCTGAAACGACTCAGACATCCCTGGCAGCATGTCATCTCACCTCCACGCCGTTGTACACGAGGTCGTAGGCGAGAGCCGAGGCAGTGCTGATGATTGTTGAAACGTCTCAAGAATCCCTGGCAGCACCTCATCTTGTGTCATCTCACCTCCACGCCGTTGTACACAAGGTCGTAGGCGAGAGCCCTGGCAGTGCTGATGTCTGCCATGTCGTCCGGATGGGGGGCCGTGAACGGATGGTGCAGCGCCTGGCGAGGGGCATGGGGAGGTTGGGTTGGGACGAATGGGGACGGAAGACAGTAAGTGAGACGGATGCAAGACCACACACAAACACGCTCAGGCCATTCCCACTACTCAGGCACTCTCGGACACTCTCACACACTCACTACTCACACCAATCCGACCACTCCATCGCACTACTCACGCAGACAAAACACATACGGCCAGCCACACTCGCCCACCTCCATCCGACCATTAGTCTCCCACTCGCACGCACCACACCACCTGCTCACACCCACGCACCTCCAGCCGCTGCTCTCCCTCGTTCCACTCGAACATGGGAAAATCGGTCACCCAGAGAATCGCCTCCGCTGATTCGTCAATCAGACCCAAGCTGCCCGCCACATACAGCCGCAGCCGCCCAAGCGTTGCTGCCACCTGATTGGCCGGGCCCGCGGCGAATAAGACAAGATCGCCCGGTTGCGCGTCCAGGGACTGCAGAAGGGCGGCTCTTTTGTCCGCATCTGAGAATGCAGCAGAGATGGCTGGGATGGCCTCTATGTTGCCTGGTGAGGGGAAGAAAGGGGTGTGAGGAGACAAAAGAAGGAGCAAGTAGGAGCGGGGGTGAGGAGTTTAGCAGAGTGGGCGAAAGAGAATTTAGTAAGAAGGTTTTCAGTTGAGAAAGGTCAGCTGAGAAGAGCAGACAACGGAAGGGATCCTGACGAGAGCTGCGTTGTGCACGGACAACTCGGCCTGAACTGGACTGGACATGTGCACACAGACACAGACACACACACACACACACACACACACACACACACACACACACACACACACACACACACACACACACACACACACACACCTTGTGGCAGCACCTTGAGGAAGGGCAGCCCTTGGCGCCCGCCTTGACGGCCTCCTGAAACACGTCGCCCTTCTTCACCCGCGTCGCTGAGATCTTTGCTGTGCCGCCCGGCACTGATACTGCCCTCACCACCCCGCCTGCCTCCAGGGCAGATTCGAACACTTTGAAACCGCTGCCCGCGACGATGTGCGAGATCTAGGGAGGGAAATGGTTAAGAGAATGCGGGTGCAGAGAAACGAAACAGGTGAGAGAGTGAGAGGCAAGAAGTAAAAGAAATGCTAGATCGTATGGCGAACGATATAAATACATGACGTTAAAGCCGTATATAGTGACACAAAGAAACAGTGAGATGGCACCCTTGGATTACAAGGTCAGGATCGTTGCACTTGTTTCAAATCAGGGGACTCACATCAGCTATCTCCATGCCGAACCTCAAGTCCGGTTTGTCCGAGCCAAAGCGGAGCATCGCTTCAGCGTAGGTTAGGCGGGGGAAGGTGCTCGGAAGCTTCACTCCCTTGATGGTTTGAAATAGCTGCTTGCGTTTGGGAACAGGAGCAAAGGGGAGACAACGAGCGGCAAGGGGAAGACTCCGGGGCAGCAAACTGAAATGTGAGGTGAGATGAAAGCCCTTTCAGTGAGACGACCCAACCCACCCAACCATCCTTGCCTGCTCCTCCCTCGCCACACCACTTCCCATCCCCCCTCCCTCTCCACCACTCTCTTCCTCTCCCCCGCTTTCTCTCCCTCACTCTGCCCCCTTCCTCCTGTTCCCCACAGATCCCCAGGTTCCTCACGTGCTGCATGAGCCGTTCATTCAGGGCGAGCATCTCATCCAACGGTGTGAAGGAGAGCTCCATGTCCAGCTGTGTGAACTCGGGCTGGCGGTCCGCCCGCAGATCCTCGTCTCGGAAGCACCTGGGGGGGGTTGAAAGAGGGAGTGGAGGGCAGGGGATGGATTGGGTTGGGAGGAGTGGGGAAAAGGCAGGCAGACAAGCAGGGGAGAAGAGGGAGAGTTCCATGGCGAGCTGGGTGCACTCGGGCTGGCGGAGCGACCTGAGCCTGAGAGGGGTTGGGGGTTCCAGGGAGGCGAGAGTGGGAGGAGAGGTTGGGGAGGAGAGAAGAGAAGACGGGGTTGAAGAAGAGGAGAAATGGGAGGGAAAATGTGCCTATGCGAAGAACGTGACTCGGATCCAGGAGAACAACGACGAGGAGACACCCGCGAGCGAGGGATGCACTCTTTTCCGCGCCCCTCGCGGTTCCTTCCACTGCTCTCCCTCCACGCAGCGGGGAGGCGATTGAGTGCATTCAGTTGCAGGCGGAGCTCCTTCTAAAGAGCAGCGAGGCGAGGCGACGACCAACAGCGCAGCGAGGATGCCCCGCCACGATCGCGAACGCATGCCAGGGCGCTCGCTCATTGCCGCCCAGGGTTTGGGAGTTAGGGTTTAGGACTCTCCGCAGTGCTCTCCCAGTCGCGCGACCGCTCGCGCCGAAGCAGAGGATCCTTCATTGCAGAGGACGGGCTGGCAGTCACTGCGAGCGAGCGCAACGAGGGGCACGCCACGCCCCCAGACAATGGAATCACCACAACCGCCGCGAAGCCCTGCCAACGAGGGCGCAACAGCAGCAGCTGGACGCAAAAGAGGACGGGGAGGAGTGGTTCAGGAGGAGGCGGCACCCACGTGCAAAGGGCTAGGCGAGGAGTAAGCCTTCGACTTCTACAGCGGACCAGAGGCGCGACGCGGAAGCTCTTGCTAGCACGAGAAACGCGGAGAGAAGTGGCACTTCAAGCTCTCTAGTTCGGAAGAAATGGGAAACCCCAACAAATCCCGAGCAAGGGTCCCCTCTTCAGCCCGAGTTGTGAATGCCAGTTTGGCGTGGCGATCCCGAGAAGCCCCAACCTGAGCAGCCAACATGGCGTGTGCCAAGGGGATCCCTGCTCTTTCCAGCAGCAACCCAACCAGCCCTCCTGCCGTCGCACAGCGAGACCTGGCTTACGCCGACGACACCACGCTGCGTGGACAGCCAGATCCGTGCAACTCCGCGTCTCAACCACTCACCGCGGCCTTGAGCCCTCTTGGCCTCTCGCACAACCCACAGCAGTGTGCCGCCTGGTCCCCACTGCTGCGTACCAACACGGCAACACCCGAGGGGAGGACATGCCTTTCCGTGCTAGCGGGCTACGTGTCCTCGGCAGCCCAATCGGACCTGTGGGGGCCTTCTCCGTGCAGGCTATGTGCCTTCGTGCACCAACAGCTCAACGTGACAACGTCACCAGTTGCACTGCTGCCTCAACTCGACCCCAAAGCAGCCTCTTGCTGCTGAGCCGCTGTGTGAGCAGGCGCGTCAGCTTCCTCCTCCGCACCGCACCACACCGCACCGCACCACCGAGGTCCTCACGCAGGCGGAGTGGTCGGCCCCGCGGGCGTGGGCGAGGGCAACTTCGAAGCCCCTGCTGACCGCCTCACCAATCCATGCGAGCCCCTGCGATCTCCCCCGGCACTGCCACGAGCAAGAACGTACCTGGCTCCTAAGTGGAGAAAGACGCTCTGGCGGCCCTGCATCCTGCGTCCGGACGCAGCGTCCGGACGCAAAGACGCAAGACGCACCCTGGAAAATTTTTCGGGCAGACCGAAAATTTTGTTTTTTTAGCGATTGCGAAATTGACATTCGCGATTTCGTCACGAATGTCAATTTCGCCAAAATTCGACCCCCCCCAACCAAATTCGACCCCCAAAACCAGCCATCTAACCCACCCCTAACCCCCACCCCTTAATGCAAAATTGAATTGGAAATCCAACCCCTCTCCACCACTCCACAACTAGAAAACCCAACCTTTGTGGCCCACCACCACCACAAAGCCCATTTAGTTCATGAAACCTCTCAATTGTGCTCCCATTTCTCACAACTCAATTCTCTTTCAAAAACCCTAGTGGTTTTAGCTCATTTCTGCGCACCACCGTTATGGTTAGCTCTAGCAATCCCTCGTCTTCTAGCGCATCGAAAGACGTCGTTCCCGACGGCGATACTCCTCCCAAGCGTTTCACTAAGGATGGCGTTGAGAAAAAACCGCAAAACCCTAGTCACCTTATTTATAGGCATTTTTTGACCTTCGACGATCCGAAGAAGAAGGGGAAGCAATGCGAGTGTCTTTGGTGCGGGAAAGAGTTCGCCTTTAGTAGTAGCCGATGCACATCTCGCCGAATGGAACGACGCGAACGTGCGGCGCGATGGCGGGATTGTTTGCGCGAAGGTTCCTAAGCGCGTTTCCGACTCCATTCGCAACGGGAAGGAGAGCAAGATTACGACGCGCAAGGAAAAAGAGAGGGCGACGGATGCGGCACTCAACGCAGTGAGCGGCGCAGGCAGTGCGGGACCGAAGGCTAAGAAGGGGCGGATGGAGGATTGGTATGGCGAGGGCGGGAAGATGGCGACGCGTGCGGCCGACGAGGCAATTTGCCTCTACATCGCGGGGACGCGCACGGCGGAGCGTCAGTGCGAGCACCCGCTCTTCCTCAACATGCTGCGCGCCGTTGCTGCCGTTGGAGGCAGCTACGTCCCCCCCAAGCGTGACTTCGTCAGCGGCGTCGGGCTGCAGGAGTGCAAGAGGCGAATTGAAAAGGGGTCGGAGCCCATTACGAAAACCTGGACGGAGACCGACGTGACGATTGCCAGCGACATGATGCGGGACAAGAGCGGGCGCGCACAGATTAACATCATTTGTATCAACGACAGCGGCGCGGTGTTCCAGGAGGCGGTTGACTGCAAGGCAGGGACTAAGAGTGGGGCGTTCATCGTGAGCATCCTGCAGCCGATCATCGAGAAGATTGGGCCGCAGCACATCGTCGCTTTTTGCTCGGACGGCGGCAGCAACTACGTGTCCGCCGGCAAGAAGCTGCAGCAGATCTACCCACATCTCGAGATCGTTCCCTGCGCCACTCACGTACTCGATCTGCTGATGGAGGACATCGGCGGGATGGACTGGGCGCAGCACGTCGTCCCTGTTGCGAACGACATCATCTCGTTCGTGCGCAGCCACACGTGGACGCGCGCCTTCCTGCGGTGTCCCGAGCTGCACGGCGAGGAGAAGTCGTTGCAGCCGCTGCGCCTGGCGGGCACGCGCTTTGGGACGAACTACATCGCTGTGTCGCGGCTGCTCAAGGTCCGTCAGCATCTGACGCAGATGGTGACGCACAAGGGTTGGGAGGAGAAGGGAGGTAGCACACAGACTGGAAAGACATTTGCGGCGTCGGTTTTGGATGTGGAGTGCTGGAAAAAGGCGGAGACATTCGTGAAGGTGATGGCGCTGCTCTACAAGGTGATGAGGCGGACTAATGGGGAGGCGAAGGGGAGGATGGGTGAAATGTACGACATCATGCTGCAGCTGACGGAGGACTTGCAGAAGCTGTTGGAGAAGGATGATTGTGGGCTCAAGAGGGCGGATAAGGAGGGGGTGAAGGAGCACTTGAGGCGGCGTTGGGACGAGAGCTTGGCCTGCCCCCTTCACGTGGTTGGCCGGATTCTGAACCCGGCCAACTAGGAGGAGGGAATCTACCACAATGACATCGAGTGCACCAGGGTGATGAGGCTCCAGCGCTCGAGGGCATTCGTCGACAAGTATTGGAAGAGCGGCGGCGACACTAAGGGGACGATGAAGGCGCTGCAGGAGGGGATGCTTGCGTTCATTGAGGGGAAGGGGTGCTTCAGGTCTGAGGAGGCAATAGAGGGGCGGGCGGAGATTAAGGCCGGGAAGGGGGACATGGTGACGTGGTGGAATGTGAACGGCTGGGAGTACCGCGACCTGGCTGGCCTTGCGTGCCGGGCGCTTTCACAGCCCGTCTCCGCTTCACCATGCGAGCGCGGATGGTCCACATGGGATGGCGTGCACACGGCGCGCCGGAACAGGTTGGGTTCGGAGAAGGTCCGCGACCTTGTGTTCGTTGCGCACAATTGGAACGTTGTGCACAACCACCACAAGGGTGCGGCTGGTGCGGGGCCGAGTGGGGAAGTCAGGAAGGCGGGAATAGTGGAGGGGAACATTCCCCCCCCTCCCCTTCCCGAGGGGTACAAGCTTGAGGAGGATGGAGAGGTGGAGGTGGATGAGGATGACATCACCTTCGATGAGTACAAGGCGCAGGAGGATTTGGAGAAGGAGGAGAAGAAGGAGATGGAGAAGGAGATGGAGATCTAGGAGGATGAGTGATGAATGTTTGTGTTAGTTTGCTGTGCATGCTAAACCACCCATGGACTGATTGTGATTATGGAGATTTGCAACTCACCTTCATGCTTTATTGTTGTGGCTGAAATTTTGTTGTTGAGGGGAAATTTTGCCATGAAAGTGTGCCCCCCCCCACTGCCCCCCCCTTCGCTCTGCCCTATAACTTTTTTTTGGCTGCCCGGGGGGTTTTTTTGGCTGCCCGGACCTGCGTCTTTTGCTGCGTCTCGGGGGCCAGAAACTAGCGTCCAGCGTCTGGACGAATGCGTCCAGGACGCTGGACGCGTCTTTCTCCACTTAGCCTGGCTCCACGCCTCCCTCCCTCCAACGTACATGTTAGGAGGCTCGGCATCACCCACCCAGCACCTGAATGTGGCGTTGCTTACCTGGCGTCCACGGCGCGCGCAGCAGACAGCCCTCCTCACACCACTCGGCAACGCCCTCCATCCCTCCATCCCCAACTGTTGGCTCGGCGCTGCTGCTGCTATGCGAGCCATACATACCCACACGGACTGGTCACTCCCGCAGCTCTACCTGCCTACCTCGCCTCGCCGCAGCTGAAGCGAGCCCACCACCCGACGCCTCACCCAGCACGCCCTTACGCTGGCGGTGCACGCACACAGACCGCTATGGCGAGCTCCTAGAGCGGAGCAGGCGGATGGAGCTGAGCTGAACCCGCTAATGGGGCACACACAGCGGCTCATGTCTCTGACCGGGCCAGGAGCTGGGGACTGGTTGATGGCCATCCCTTTTACCTACAATCTGTGCCTCTCCCAAGCCCAGTTTGCCTCCGCCCTGGCTTTCCGACTCGGCGTACCTCAAGAGGTGGCAGAAGCATGCGAGTGCCGCCACGCCACCACCAAACTGAAATGCTGGACACGAGGCTCCCCAACCACCGGCTGCGTTGTGGTGCGGAACTACCGGAGAAGAGCGCATGGGGACGCATCACGCCTGCCTGCGCGACAAATGCATCAATGAATCGTGGTCGACTCAGGCTTTGCCGAGCAGCGGGAGTCGGCACTGAAGGCCGACATGGCCATCCGCCACCCCAACTCTGTCTGGCGCCCCGTGTGGATCTGTGACGTCATTGTCACTCGCCCAAGTCCCCACAGGACCATAGTGTCTCGCAGCGTGGGCTGGGCGGTACGGACGGATAGCAGCCAGAGTGAAGGAGCACAAGTACGGCCACCCATGATGGTGGGCGTGGGATTGAAGGCCATGGCAGCCGATACTTATGGCTACTGCCCTCCATAAGTATCAGTGTTGGACCCCGAGTTCCTGCACCTGTGCCTCTGCGCAGGAGGACATGGCAGCCAAGAGACTCCACTCCACAACGCGAAGGCCTCCTCGAGGAAGGGAAGCAGCGAAGCTGTTCCACAGGTATCGCCAGCGCTGGTCATGCACACTGCACGGCAGCGGGCCCAGGCGAATGCGCCGCTCGCCAAGACCCACGCCGCCCCTGTGGCGGCACTGGGGAGCTGCAGTGAATCCCTTCTAGAGCCGAGCCGAGCCGAGCCGAGCCGAGCCGAGCCGAGCCTCTTGGCATCGGGGAGGTTCTTTCTCCACTCCGGTGAGGGAGGGGCCCACGTGGTGTAAGCTACTGTAGTAGTAGGTAGTGCCATTTATGTGTGCCGTCCCGTACCCACCATGCCGCCCTATCGTTGTATCCCAATGCTTGTATCAATGGAGGACCATTCGGGGTGAAGAAGAGGAGAAATGGGAAGAAAAGAGCAGAGGGAGAAAAAGAGTAGGGGAGAGGAACAGAGGAGGGAGAGGAAAAGTGGAGGGAAACGGAGAGGAAGGCAGTGGCGAGAGGAGAAGGGGAGGGCAGGAAAAAAACGCACAAGGACGTGAGTCTGCATAGCACTCACACTCACATGGTGGGGGTGGGGGAGGGATGGGAGAGGAAGGGGAAGAAGAGGTGACGGGGGCTGCGCAATGGAGGTAGGAGAAGAGGTATGGGTAGTGAAGAAGAGTGATATGGAGGAGGGAGTACATGCAATGACGCAACATGTTCGTCTCTCCATCTTCACTCACAGTCCCACACGGCCCCAGCACCCTCACTCACCTCAGCAGCAGTACTCGAGCATGCTCCCCGTGCAAACAGTAGTAACAGTGGAAGCCCGACAGCATGAGCTGTGAGAATAATAGTTGGAAATGAAGTTGATGGTTTGATTGAGGAGAATAGGGGTTTTCATAGGGAGTGGGTTGGATACTAGCCTAGGTGAGCATTATTGGACCCCAACCAAGAAGTTGGGTTGGGAGATTATTGGTGGGGTCCAATAATGTTGGCCAAGTTGGAGTTGGGCCAACATTATTGGAGGGGACCAATAATTCTACCCAACCCAACCTTTGGGGTCCAATAATTGGACCAAGGTTGGGTTTCCAACCTACAAGCTGGGTTACCCCTGCTTGTACACCCAAACTAAGTTTGGGTGCTTAACTCTAGCCTAACCTATAGCATGTATGCAGGTTGCAAGAGAAGATATATTCTAACACAACCCCTTAACCTGCAGAGATGCGGAAAGGCTTGAGAGAAGCAACCCCTGAATCAAGGCGCGCCTGGGGGAGCGAGGCCGATGAGGCAGAGGAGAGCAGAGTGCGCAGGGCGAAGAAGTGCTTTGGTGAAGATATCTGCCAGATTGGCTTCAGTAGCGATCTTGCGTACGGCGATAAGATTCTGCTGGACGAGTTCGCGGATGAAGAAATAGCGGAGCTCGATGTGCTTGGAGCGACCATGAAAGACGGGGTCCTGGGTGAGATGGATGGTGCTGGCGTTGTCACACCAGAGCGTGGGACAGCGCTGGGGGGCACCAAGCTCTGCCAGAAGAAAGCAGAGCCAGCGGGACTCTTGAGCGGCCATGGTGCCCGCATAGAGCTCAGCTTCGCAGGAAGAGAGAGCGATGGCGGAGGAGCGGGTGGAACGCCAGCTGATAAGTCCGCTGCCGAGGGTAAAGCCATAGCCTTGGGAGGAGCGGCGGTCTGGCTGATTGTCTGCCCAGGAGGAGTCACTGAAGCCCGAGAGAAGGGGAGGGGAGGATCCACCCAACGTGAGAGCGTGATCCTTGGTGCCGCAGAGATAGCGGAGGACCCGCTTGGCGGCAGCCCAGTGTTCCTCAGTGTGACGGCCAGAGCCGACGAACCGAGCAAGGACGCTGACGGGGTAGGCGAGGTCGGGGCGAGTGCACATCATCGCGTACATCAGCGACCCAACAAGCTCGGCATATGGCCGGGAGGAGGTGGAGGGGGAGGTGGGTGGCGCAAGTTGGTGACCGAAGGGGAGGGGGGTGGAGACTGGTTTGGCCTGCGCCATCTCGAACTTCTCCAGGACCTGGCCGATGTAGTGGGACTGGGAGAGGGTGATGGTGCGGGCGGATCGATCACGGGTGATAGCCATGCCGAGGTAGTTCTGCAGCGGACCAAGGTCCTTGCACTTGAGACGTTCCTGGAGTGACTGACCGCTTCATCTGGTCCATGTCGGCCCTGGAATCCGCCAGCAGGATCATGTCGTCAACGTAGACCGAGATGAAAAAGCGACTGGGGGAAGAGCGGATGAAAAGGCTGGCGTCGGAGTGAGAGGCAGAGAAGCCAAGGGACTGGAGAGTAGCAGATAGCTTCGCATGCCATTCTCGTGGTGCTTGCTTCAGACCGTAAACCGGTCGCCGAAGTTGCCAGACAGTGTTGTCGCGGAAAGCAGCATGGAATCCGGGAGGTCGGCGGAGGAAGATAGGCTCGTGCAGTTCGCCTTGCAGGAACGCGTTGGAGACGTCCATGGAGTCAATCTCCATGTTGTCTCGTGCACCAATGTCAAGAAGGGTGCGTAGGGTGGCCTGCTTGACGGTGGGGGCGAACGTGAACCAGTAGTCCTCAGCCCAGGTCTGGGTGAACCCCTTGGCAACGTAGCGGGCTTTGTAGACTGGTTCTTCTCCCGGCAGCTGCTTGACTCGAAAGATCCACTTGCCTTCAACAAGGTTGGCGTCAGGAGGGAGGGGAACGTCAATAAAGGAGTCATTGCGAATGAATGCTTCACATTCCTGGAAGATGGCGGCTATCCACTTATCGGCGTCAGGGCAGGTGATAGCCTCTTGGAAGGTGGAGGGGACGAAGATGGTGGGAGCGGAGATCGCGCTAAGGAGTAGGGCGCCGAGGAGGCCAGGGTAAAGCACGGTGAGAGAGGGAGTGTGACGCTGAACCATGGTGAACTCCTCATGGGAGTCCTCCAGTTGGTTGAGGGAGGGAGGAGACGGTACGCCAAGGATGGGGTCAAGGGAGCGGGTGTGCATGCGAGGGAGGAGGAAGGGTGACGAGCGGGCAGTCGCCCTATGCCGCTGCTGCTGCTGGTGCTGCTGGAACCCCTGCTGCTGCTGCGGCTGCTGCCCCTGCTGCTGCTGCTGCCCCTGCTGCTGCTGCTGCGGCTGCTGCTGCAGTTGTGGCTGCTGCTGCTGCTGCTGCTGCTGCTGCTGCGGCTGCTGCTGCTGCCCCTGCTGCTGCTGCTGCGGCTGCTGCTGCAGTTGTGGCTGCTGCTGCTGCTGCTGCTGCTGCTGCTGCTGCTGCTGCTGCTGCTGCTGCTGCTGCTGCTGCTGCTGCTGCTGCTGCTGCTGCTGCTGCTGCTGCTGCTGCTGCTGCTGCTGCGGCTCCTGCTGCTGCTGCCCCTGCTGCTGCTGCTGCCCCTGCTGCTGCTGCTGCCCCTGCTGCTGCTGCTGCTGCTGCCCCTGCTGCCCCTGCTGCTGCCCCTGCTGCTGCCCCTGCTGCTGCTGCTGCTGCTGCTGCTGCTGCTGCTGCTGCTG